GCTGCCCCGCCGCGGGCTCCGCTGCCGGCTCGGTTCCGAAGCTCGCCCGCGCCCTCGGAGCCGTGCGCGTCACCCTTCGGAGCGGCCCTGGCCTCCTGGGAAACGCGACGCCCGAGTGTCCCCCTCCCGCCCGCCCCAGCCTGCCTGGGTGTCGGGAGCGTCGAATCGGGTGACGGCGTGACTGGCCTCCGCAGGTTCCAGGCCCTGCCGCTTTCCCCTCTGGGCCTCCGAGGCCAGGCGAGTGCCACCCTGGCTGTCGCTTTCCCCCCTTCCCCCAGCCCCGGAACAAGGGGAACAAAGAGCAGAGCCCCGCTTCAGAAATGGCCTCTGCAAGCTGGGGGGTGGGGAGTGGAAGGAGACACCTTGAGGTTGGCCAAGGTCAGGACAGGAGAGAGGTCATAGGGGTCTTTCCCCTGGTGTGGGGCCACCTTTCAGAGGACAATTCTGGGTGGGGCTGGCCTGGGGTTGGGGGATGCTGAGAGCTTTTGGGGTGGCTGCTTCTCCCTTTGGGGGAGGCCTGGGCCCCAGGACTGTGTTCTGGGTTCTTCCATCGGAATGAATCCCTGCCTCCCTGAGCAGAAGCCAGTGACAGAAGTGTGTGTGGGGGGGTTCTCTGCTGGGGACTGGGCCTGCTGATTAAGGGGGGTGCTGGAGTCCCCACTCCCACCTGGGTACTGTGCCTGCCCTGTCAGGAAACAGGCTCCTCTTGTGGGGCCTTCCTAGTTGCACGTTGAGGCATGTCTCCTGCAGGTCTTCAGCACAAGGTGACCCAGGGTCTAGGGCTCCTCCCTGGACCCCGTCTGGCCAGGGGTGGAGGAGAGTAGGGCAGATGCCAAAGGAAGTTACCTGGACAGGGTTGCCAATCAAAGTGTCAGTTTGAATTCCCAGTTCCCAGACCATCCTGCCCGCATGGTCCCCTTGTCTGGAAGGTCCGGTTGGGAGTGGGGGATGGAGGCTGTGGGGAGGCCTGTGGCCCTAGGCCAGCTGAAGGACCAGGCCACCAGCCCTTCCTGGCTCCTGAATTCTTAATCAGCATAAATATTTACTTCCTTCCTCCCCTTCTAGGCTCCCAGCACAGAGGAGCTTCAGGGAGGTTGGACTGGGCCTGTGTCTAAAAATAAACAGGTGGAGGGACAGGCAGACAGACAGACATTACTGGGAGAGGGGGGTCAGGCAGAGGGCAGCTCCCTGCCCAGCCAGAGGGAGAGTGGAAGGGGCCCAGGTCCATCCATCACTGTCACCCACCCACCTGCCCGCCTTGGGTCTGGAACTCCTGAAGGGCAGGGTGGCAGCCTGATCCCACTTGCATCGCTGGGAGCGCCTGGCCCATGCGTGGCCTGGGGGGCAAATCCAAACAGATCTGACTGCTTCCACCTGATGCAGTTTAACTGGGACAAGTCAGGTCACAGACAGGGTCCCACGACCAAGTGTAGCTGCCCCTCCTTGGGCTCCAATATTTTAGCCATGTGCTGGTAGGGTCTTGGGATGTTCTTGAAGCAGAGGATCCTAACTGAGGTAGGGGACTGCCTCGTTCCCTGTGTGCTTGGAGGGTCTTGGCAGAAGGAGAGCTTGTCAGGGGAGATGGATGGGCCAGGACTTGGGACCAGAGAAAATTGTTTATAATGTTGCTGAGGTGCATGGCCTGGAAAAAAGATGAGTGGGGACATAAGGGCTGTCTTCCTCCTTCCGGCTCCATGAAGCAGCTCTGCATACATGGGAGGCACGTGCGCGCGTATGCGTGTGCGCGCACACACGCACACACAGCTGAGATGTATGATCATTTACCATGTGGTGGTTACAGGGGTGTTCTGTTTTAAATTATGAAAACGTGGATTTGGTGAATGACATGGACTATCTCATGGTGTTGGCTTGTTTATCGGGTAGATTTTCAGGGTGTAATCATCTCAATTAGCAAATGCAAGGATACACTTTGACCACATGTGGAAAGGTTGCCCCTGGAAAAAGTTTGAGTTTGGAATAGTTGACCTTGCTCTTGGGTCATTTGAATGTGAAGAAACTCACACCATTGAGAAGTGTTAAGGAACCATGAAAATACCAGCATGAGAACTTGTAATAAAAGAATATCATCACCACTGAAAAAAAAATGATGTATACATATATTTCATTAACCACCCGAGCTGGTCCACTTCCCTCCAACCCTGTCCCTGGCTGGCCTGGCTGGGCCACAGTCCCCAGCTGCCCCCTGGTGGCAGCCCAGACCCCTCTGACTCCCCGGGCCTATGGGCACCTCTCTTCTGGGCCTCACCTGGGAGGCAAGGCCCCCTGCCTGCACCCCCATCCCTTGGGCCAGGCTCTGCACAGCTCGCCTGAGGCAAGGTCGCAGCCTCCTTCCCTTGCAGGTGACCACAGCTGCCTGGGAAGCCCGACACAGCGAGCCCTTGGTGATCAGTAGCTGAGAACCACTAATGGCTACCTTGGAAGACACTCGTTGCTCTTTTGGTCTGGTTTTGGGTCCTCAGGCTCAAACCAGGCATGTGATCCCGAGCACGACTTTCCACTTGGTCAGAAATGACCTTTGGGACTTGGCTGACCAGTTCCAGGGAGATCTGGCTTTGAAGCTGGTAGCTCTGCCACTTCTTAGCTCTGTGACCTGAGGCAGTGTCTCTAAAACTCAGTTTCATGGCAAAATGGACTCTCTGAGCTTTGCCTCCAGAAAAGACTTGAGGGCAGTGGATGTAGAAGCTCTTAGTAGGTGTTTGGCGCTCCTCATGTGACCCGGGGCCAGAGCCAGAGGGTCCCCCTTCCCAAGGAGACAGTGCTCATGCTGCCGCACATCCTCTCCTGGCGGCTTCCGTGGGTGCAGCCTGAGAAGCCTGAGGTCACAGTGTCACAGCACAGCTCCTGTCCTCCCCCAGGTTCCTGCCTGAATACCAGCTTGGGAGCTCCCCACTGCCTGCAGCCACCTCCGACCAGCCCCCCATCACCATGCACTCCTTGGACGAACCGCTCGACCTGAAGCTGAGCATCACCAAGCTCCGTGCGGCGAGAGAAAAGCGGGAGAGGACGCTGAGTGTGGTCCGGCACCGGGCTCTGCACAGGGACCTCGGCCTGGTGGATGACAGCCCCACCCCGGGCTCTCCGGGCTCCCCGCCCTCAGGTACAGCACCCCAGGCAGGGGGGGGTGGGGGGGTCTCAGGCCCTGATGGAGCCGTGGCAATGGGAAGAACGTCCAAGGTGTGCCCCGAGGATGTAAGCAAGCCCCTTGCAGCTTTCAGCTTAGAGCTAGAGCTCTGTCCATTTATCCTCCCAGCAGTTTGTCTCTGGAGGTGACCTTGTCCCTGGGGGGAGGCAACTGACCTGCCCCGTTCATGAAGCTGGCCCAGCAGAGCCAGGATTCAAACTAGGCCTCGGGGAGGACATGGAGGCGCTGGTAAGGGGGAGCAGGGGATTCACAAGCGGTGACCGAGGCCCTGTGACCCAACTCCTGGGCTTTGAGGCAGCGTGGCTGGTCAGTCAGGTCCGTGCAGACTGGGGACTGAGCCCAGCAAGTGCCTCTCAGCAGGTGCTTGGGGCTCAGGACTTCCACTCTGCCTCCTCTGGACCCTGAAAACCAGACCCACCATGTCTGAGCTAGAAGGCTCTGGAAGCAGCCTGGCCCAAACCCCTCCTGTTACAGAAGGGCGCAGCGAGGCAGGAAGGGCCCAGGAAAAGTCAGAAAGTCAGAAAGGTCCCTACCTGCCAGGGTGACAGCAAGCCAGGAGCCTGGCTTCAAGTTCCTGTTCAGTGGGTACTTTCCACTCCCTGTCTTACCCAACGGCTGAGCTCTCATGGTGGCAAAGATTCCATTTGTCACTTGTGCAGGCTGCTGCTCAGATGCTTGCGGTCCCAGAGTGGTCTGGGGGTGTGGCTGGTATCTGTTTTCAGGATTTGGAGGACTCCCAGCTCCAGCACCCCTGAATAGTGCTTCTCCCTTAGGCTTCCTCCTGAACCCCAAGTTCCCCGAGAAGGTAGAGGGACGCTTTTCGGCGGCCCCCCTGGTGGACCTCAGCTTGTCACCGCCGTCTGGGCTGGACTCCCCCAATGGCAGCAGCTCGCTGTCCCCTGAGCGCCAGGGCAACGGAGACCTGCCTGCAGTGCCCACTGCCCCGGTAAGGAGGGAGTGCGGGTTCTGGAAAAGAGGTGTATTGGTTTCCTGGAAAAGACCATAAACTGGGTGGCTTAGAACAACAGAAATGTATTATTCTGTCATAGTTCTGGAAGCGAAAGTCTGAAGTCAAGGTATTGACAGGGCTGTGCTCCCTCCGAAGGCTCTGGGCAAGAAGAATCTTTCCTCACTTCTTTCCAGCTTCTGGTGGCTCCCAGCGTCCCCTGTCTCGTAGCAGTGTCATTCCAATCTCTACCCCTGGTGCCACCTTGCCTTCCTGCCTCCATGTATCTCTGAGTTCAAATCTCCCTTTCTTTTATGAAGACATCCATCACTGGATTTAGTTCTCCCCAACCCCATATGACTTTATTTTTTTTTTTTGAGGGAGAGAGAGAGCAGGGGTGGGGGCAGAGGGAGAGGGAGAGAATCTTAAAAGCCGGCTCTATGCCCAGCGTGGAGCCGAAGCCGGGTTTGATCTCACGACCCTGAGATCATATCCTGAGCTGAAATCAAGAGTCAGACACTTAGCAGACTGAGCCACCCAGGCACTCCCAGTATGACTTCTTAACTTGATTGCATGTGCAGAGACCGTATTTCCAACTAGGGTTACACCCACAGGTACAGGGGGTTGGGACTGGGACAACTCAACCTGCCATAGGAGGAGACAGAGGGGGTGTGGGCCTCCTGGCCCAGCGGGGAGCACTGACCCGCTCTGCCCCCCTGTCCCCCAGGACTTCCAGCCACTGCGCTATCTAGATGGCGTCCCTAGTTCCTTCCAGTTCTTCCTGCCTCTAGGCTCCGGGGGGGCCCTGCACCTGCCTGCTTCCTCCTTCCTCACCGCCCCCAAGGACAAGTGCCTCTCACCAGAGCTCCCCCTGCCCAAACAGCTGGTGTGTCGCTGGGCCAAGGTGAGTGGGGGGCCAGGAACGGGGGGCCAGGGCTGGGGTGGGCGGCCCCATGAAGACTCAGAACCCTCCCTGGCCCCACAGTGTAACCAGCTCTTCGAGCTCCTGCAAGACCTGGTGGATCACGTCAATGACTACCATGTCAAGCCTGAGAAGGACGCAGGGTACTGCTGTCACTGGGAGGGCTGTGCCCGCCATGGCCGAGGCTTCAATGCCAGGTGAGGGAGGGCGGGGG